TAATCTCATCACTTAGAGTGAAGTTGTTATGAACCCCCATCACCATTTCTAAAGATTATAGATAGCTATAAAAATAGAAAGAGAGCTTAACTTAGACAATGATATGAGAGTACACCAGTGAAAGGAAAGATCCACAGCCTTGACCTATACAAAGGGCCACAAACCTTTCTATTTCAAAATAGGATGTGATTACCGTATAGTGGGAAATTTTGAAGGGAGTTAAATTTGGCAAATTGCCAAAATTTGGTGATTGGTGAATTTTAATTTGGCGAATTAGTGGCCATGCATGTGCCATTGAACATGTGTATAATGGATCAAATTTGCCAAGTTTAATTCCCTCCAAAATTTTTCTCTATATAGTATATAAGTCAAATAATGAATATTTATAATTACTACTCGTGTCACATTCATTGATTTTACACTGCAATGCAAAAGCCTATACTTCCTGACAATTACACAATGAATACCAGTTCTCCTTATGTGAGTAACAAATCACTGCTGCTAACAGTGGTCCATTAACCTCATTGCTTTAGATTATGTGCTGTATGATCAAAGCAATTGCACGTGTTTATAAAATACAGTAGCTAGATATTAATGCAATCATCTTGCTTAAATTTTCTCTAACACTTCATAAGCCTGCAGCAATTGCTTATAGCATTAAAGTCTAAGATAGGTCAGAAGCAGTCACTGAGCAAAGAAGATTGTATATCTGCTTTGTTAACCTAGGCTTGCTCCTAGAGAAGAAACATCAGCTAGAATAGATCTCATACATGCTGCATAGGTACATGCAGCTTTCTCACTTGCATTCAACTTATCAGAGTCCTGTATATCAAAGAAAAAGAATGTATAACTGCTTTTCCAACCTTTTTTCTTGCTAGAGGTCTTTGGACAGCAGTTTAGTCTTATCTTGCTCACTTTTTGCTCACTTTGCTGCAAATAAGCTCAAACTTGCTTATCATTTGCAGCTTATACCTAGCAAAGCATTTTATATACATCATTGGATTACTTTCATCTTTTGCCTGTAAAAGTTTTTTCTCTATGCTTTGTATGTAGCACTATGTGTAGCCATAGACCCTTTATGTACAGGGTCTATGGTGTAGCTTACTGCCTTAAACTTTATAGTAACATTAAACCAGATCTTATTCCAGCCACACCTTATTCCAGCCACACCTAGCGCACGTGTCCAGCTGCATGGCTGAATCAAAATTTGATATTTACTTGTGTACTTTACACTACGTATTAAAACACATTGAGTAGCAAACAGAAAATTAGAGTAGTATCTATATAAAAGTAAAATTAGTCCAAATAATTACTGCTTTTGTTTTAACAGCATAGTGCATGTACATTATACTCATACTAATAAAATATTAAAAACAAACAGCTATGAGCTTACATAGTTTCAACCTTAAAAAGTTAAAAACAAGAACAAACCAACACAACTGAGTGGACAATTGAAGCAATTAACTTTTTTCAATTAATTTTATTGGGTTATAAAATTATTACCAAAAATAGCTACAGAAAATTTTTTAATCACATCAAGTAATTAGTGTTTTTGTTTTGCATTCTATTACTAATAAAACAAAATCCTATGATATGCTAAGTATACTACAGTATTAAAACAAATTAATGGAGCCTTTTTCTGAATGAGTAATTACATTGAAGAAGACACAGTTGGAGCATTCATCATTTTCATAGACAAACTTGATGATTTAGGTTTGTACCC